ACGTATTTAGAATTATCGAAGAACCCCTGGCGCCGACAGACCCACCCCAGTTTTGACGGCGTCAATAAAAGCGAGAACCCAACCGACAGAAATCAGTTCGTTCGACCCAAGCTGGAGAGAAGAAGTTTGAGTTCAGCCGCGGACCCTGGCGAGAAGTTTTGAGCCTTGGACGACAAGCAGAGATGAGTGACCAGTGTTGAAACCGCATCAAGATAGCTGGCCAAGATTCATGCACACTTTTAGACTCTTCTTCAACCAAGAACAAGTAGTTTGAAGAGCGACTTAGAATCAGACCACAGAAATAAGTTTTTTCGACTTTCGTCCAAAGACACACCGAAGCACAAATTTCTTAGAGAGCAGACAACTTGAAGCCTTAAAGTTTGCCTAGCGAAAGCGTCGTGCCACAATCCACAGAACGGGTCGGGAGGTAGACATAGTCCTATGTACCGAACAAATAGACATAAAAGTTTGTTACCTTTTTCTTTGATACTTCGGACTTTGTGAGTTTTCATTTTATTTTCTTTTATCCATAATTGTGTGTTATCACCCCCGTTGAACTCAGCTTGCATTACGGCCCCAACCCCTGTTTGATCTCGTCTGTCTAAGATCAATTCACAGCGTGGGTAGGCAGACTGGAGATCAGTGCAGTTACCCTGATAACCAGGCGTTGGAAGCAGGTTGGGAACGGCGAGGCTAGTATCAATCTAACCAGATTCCTACCCGAATCACCAAAGGGTTAGAACGTCACGTTTGGAGCAGCGAGGAGCGAACAGCTGACGCCGCGGCGAAGACGTCTGGTGGTGCTGTTTGGGGACATCACATCTGACGCCGTGACCGGGACATCAGAGCCTGGGGCAGCCACGTGACGTCACATCTGGCGCCGTGGTGGATCAGGATAGAACGACACAGTCGATGCTGCGACCGGGGGACGACGTCACACTATGTTAACGCGGTTAATTGATGTGATGTAAAATAAAATTCAGTAGTGTTGTAGTTTCCAGATGTGATACGCAATACATAGTTTCGTTTAGTAAATATGATACACAAAACAATTCAGTGTTGTTGCGGCTACCAGATCTTTCGGTCTTGATGCGGCTTCCAGTCGTGACTACCAGATGTAATACCCATGACAATTCAGTGTTGTTACGGGTAACAGATGTGATATACAATTCATTTCAGTCTTGTTACTGCTTCCAGTTGCGACTAACAGATGTGATGCACAATACAATGCAGTGTTTTTGTGACTACCAGATGTGATACACAACCTTAATTCGTTTAATCTTGTTGCAGCTCAACATCAATATAAACCACTGATTTTCCGGAAACCCTGGTTCCAGAAACGTCCAGGATAATGTTTTTTTGTCTCGTAAGAACAATTCAATAATGTTCTACTATCCCAATAATTATGCATCTCCTATGTACTTGCTGCATCGTCGTCTGTTAGAAACTTACATTAAGCTATTATTAAAAAATAAATTTTATGTGAATTAAATGATTGAATTAACCTGGCAATCGCGAGAAATTCGCAAGCTCGGTCCTTATTTGTCCGCCTTTGATGTTGTATCGGAAAAAAAAACGTTGCCGGACATCATCATTATCATTAATTCCATTATCAGGTGTGATCGTAGGATCGTAGGGTCATTGCGCAGCAGAGCACCTGACTATATGTCTCCATATCTTTCGATTGCGTGCCAATGTTCGAACCTCCGTAAGTGATTTCCCAGACCAGAATTGTTTGGCACACTATTTTCAGAGGGACAACACTAGCTATTTACTCTGTCTCCCCGCTAAGACAACTTGTGACACAAGGTCAGTTTTTAAGGTGGGGACCCCGAGCGCGTACACCCGGGCTAGAAAAAAATATTGCCCGCAGCCCCCGCAACCATTGGTTGCACTGGCATCAGTGCGAGCACCGATCCGTCTCTCTGGTGCAATGAGAGGGTGCAGACTTGGGCAGCCGTTCCCCAGGGCTGGACACCTCTCAGTATAATTTTCCTTAGTTGCGACTCTGTCCTTTGACGAAGTCGTCCCTGTGTGCACTCTGACCAAAGGTCGAGACGCAATTGAGAGATGATAAATAATGTGTCTGCACACTACTTGAGAGAGTGATTTGCACACAGAGGCACAGCACTAATATCAACATGTAAGAAACTGTCTTTTTTACTCATACATACTTCAACATAAAGCCAAATATTTGCTTTTATCCACCAGTTGGTAGCCAATATCCATCACTTTCGTTTGTGTTTGTGTCACTCTTTAAAACGCATGCCCTGTGAACGAGTTTTAAAATGCGCTGATTGCATTTCCTGTAGAGAACTAAGATCATGGATCACTTTTTGGGTGGCTGCATACCGGATTCAACCCTACATTCGGTCAATGTTTGCCTATAGAGCCAATACTGGCTAAATGACTCAAGCATAAAAATTACCAATATTTCTATACGGATCAAATTCTTGCCTATAGACTCAAGCATTAATCCGACAAACGTTTGCAGAAGAGCCAATGTTTCCCTATCAACAGACGCATAAAACCCATCAATGTTTAATTGTTGAGCCAATGCGTAAATACAGACACAATTATAAAGTTTACAAGTTTTTGCATATAGAGTCTACGTTGGTCTGTAGAATCAAGCATACTCCCAATCACTGTTTGCAAATAAAGCTAATGCTTACCTGTATCTTCAAACATTAGTCACAACAAATGTTTGCATAGAAAGCCATTGATTGCCTACATAGTGAAATATAAACCCTACTAAAGCTTACCTATAGAGTAAAGCATAATCTCGTTCAATGTTTGCACAAAACTGCTCTCCATTAATCATCTGGGAGGACATTTTTGCCTTCCATCAGCATGGCTGATGTTAATCTTTAGCAGAATGACACATTGCGCCTACTCGAGCTAAGATTTTCCTTTAGTCGGAAGATGACATTGAATCCATTGCTAGGTCAGGTGTCAAGAAATTTGGTTTACTGTGTCGTTCTAGACATTTTTTTCTTTCCAGAGACTATGTTACACATCTATAAATCTGCTATGCTTTGGGTATTTCTCCTGCTATGTCCTGAGAGATTATTGATAAAATCCAAAGAAGAATCAGCAATATTATTGGTCCTGACCTGGTAGTTTGGATTTCAGTCACTTTCCCACCACCGTAAAGTTGTTTCTCTGTACGTTTTCTATAAATTAATGGTAATTGTTCGAATAAGCTTTTCGCTTTGATATGTTTGGGTCAATGTTTGTGGGTAGCTAAGTTTAAAGTTAAGACAGATGAAGTCCGTTCTTTTACTCTTTCCCCATTTTGGTCATGTACTACATTTTGTAAATATTTACAAATAAATATCGGTCTTCGCTGTGGTATTGATATTATTTTGTTTAGTTTCTTGTAAATAGTTTTGTACATTTTTGTAAATATTCATTTATTCCCCTCCCGCCACAGACAATGAATTGTACATATAGGGACTAGTTAGGACTTGCATTGAGACAATGAGGCATTATGGTGGATGCAGTAAGAAATCTAAGTAAGAATGTGATGTTTTGGTATAAGGAATATTGTTGGATGTTTGGGTCAGTGTTTGTGGCTAGCTGAATTTAATGTTAAGACAAGAAGAAAGTCCTTTTCCCCATTCCCTTTGTTGGATTTGTGCCACATTTTCTGTAAGTAAGCGGAAATAAATATCTTTCTTCGCTATGGTATCTAGACTTTATGAATTTAAGCACAGTTCTTGATTAGCAATAATGTCTCATCAAATTACTGTTGAATTTCCTAAATGTAACCCTAAGTTTTACGATAACGATTTCTTTTCTCACAATTTCGCTTGAAGAACACTTTTTTAGCTCCATGCTTTCTGGCCAAATTTGATCTTCAAAAATTTAAATGCTATGTAAATCGTTATCTACTGTCTTCTTGATTGCTCTTCTATTGGTTTTGATCCTTAGCAATGTTTTTGCATTCTGTTTCACACCAAGTAACCCCTTGTGTCTTAGTAGGTTTACTGCTTTGCATGGGGTGAATTTGATTTTAAAAAAAGATAGAGCCAATGCTCGCCTATAGACCGAAGCATAAACCCTACAAATTCTTGCCTAAATCATAATCTCAATCAATGTTCACATAGAGGGTCCAATGTTTCATGTTTGCCAATATGATTGATTCGTTTTCTACGGCTTGTCAAACCTTTGCAGGATATTTAAAATCAGAAAATATTCTTCTTTAGACTGTAAGAATTTTTTCTTTAGCAAATAATTATGCTTAAGTAATACAAATCTTAATATTTATCACTTAGCTGGGGGCAGAAAAGTTGGATTCATAATCTTTTTCCAAGGATATTTGCAAATAAGTAAATATAACGAAGCAGACTGGAATTAAAACTCGGCTCACCGAGTAATAATTCCGTGTCGAATTCATTACAATACCAACAGTCACCCATCTAGCTAATGACCAGGTGCAACGGTGCTTTACTTCGATGATCGTACGGTGTTTCATGATCTTTCATGATGCGGCCGTAAGCCACATGTTTATCTATAGAGTGAATTCTTACCTATAGAGTAAAGTATAAGCTCTACCCATGTTTGCCTGTATGAACATTGCTTGCATATAGAGTATTCTCCCCGGTTTACAAAAGCAATTTCCCATTGGTAATACAATAACAATCATTCGTACCAGAAAAATCAGCAAAAAAAAAACCTCAGCTAACATACAACTATTTTACAGCCAACTCTTCATAAACCAAATAACAGCGAACAAATAAAAAGATTGATCAAAATGAGGAACTTTTGTGAGGAGACTTAAAAAAAGAATCATTTTTTTTCTTCTAAAATAAGTATCTACGAGAGTTTCATTGGTAATTTCTCTTTCAGAAATTCTGGCCAACGCCGATCGACATTTGGCTGCTATTCCTCTTTAACCATGGCCTCATTCCAAACTGCAAGTTTCTCTCCCTTAGGTACAATAAAGAACTAATTGTTTCTCCTTTTTGTCTCGGAAACTGAAATGCTTCCAATAAAATATGTTGTTTGCCTTTCTCCTAGACCGACATACGGCAGCCGGTATTCCTCCGCGGGGAGCCCAACCAACTTTACTTCTTACCGATAACAGTTTCCTCGCTGATTCTCTTCCAGACCCCAGCCACGTCTCACGCTGTTGCTCACTTACGAAGGCCGGCCCTATTCTCTTGTTCATTCTTTTCTTTCCGTTTAGGTCAAACGAGATCAAACGATTTTTCTCACGAGATTCGAAAGATTGGGTGGGGGGAAGGAGAGGTCAAATTTAACCGGAACCTGATAAAGACGTTCAGTTCTCTGTTGTTGCATCAATTTGTCTCGTTTGCCCGCCTTGTTATTTATTAGGCCAGCAGAGAAAAATCACAAGAAGCTTTTGTCTTTTTTGAAAACTTTTATTACGATGAAGGATTTATAAGAAAACAAAAGCCAAGACACAGCAGCTAAACAGGTAAACAAAGGACCGTAAAAACTACACACACACATATTATATATATATATATATATATATATATATATATATAGTTTTTATGGTATGGAAAACATTAGAATTGATCCGCAAAATTACCTTATTGCACGTAAGTAATTCTAACGAACCCAAGTCGTAATTAGAACTCAGGCCTCCAAATTCCATTACTCCATTAACAGATCGAAGCCTGCAAATCCTGGTCTACCTAAATGCCTACGGATCCAGGTACTGACCAGGCTTGACGTTGCCCACCTTTTCTGCAATAGACAACAATATATATATATATATATATATATATATATATATATATATATATATATATATATATATATATATATATATATTTACTAATTTAAAAATATTTTTAAATTAGTAAATTTATAATATTTATGCTCTGTAGATTTGCATTGAGTACTGTTTTATAAAAATAATTAATAAGGACACTGGATTTTATATCTTACTGTTCTTTCTCTTTATTATAATATATATATATATATATATATATATTGATAATGGCTAAAAGAGTACCCGAAAGGACATTCGGACAATTTCAACATAATTTATGTCGATAAAAGAAAAAAAAATATAACAACGCAAGAAAAATTAAATAAAAAATTACATTACCTTGTCAGTCGTTTTTAATGAAACATATATATATATATATATAGAGAGAGAGAGAATTTATTGAATACTGTAATTATTCCTGTATAAGAATCATTCATGGAAAAACGCAGCCGTAAGATTGCGTGATGTTCTCACGGCATCAGATATTGTTGGGTATCTCAAAAAGCTGTTTGCCAACTGTAGGCAGATGGGCCGGTTGCGTAGCAATGCCAGTTTCCATGACTTTCTTAAGACCGCTTTACCAAAGTTAGACTGTCTTTGTATGTTACTGAAAATCAAGTCAGATGTCTTTTCATCAGGAGAAAGTGTTTTTTTTTTTCTGGTAGTTGTTTATTTGCACGACGCGTATTGTCTGTATTGACTGTTTTTATTACCCCTCACAGGACTAGTTTACTGTGAAAGATATATACATACATATACATAGAGAGAGAGAGCAGTGAGATTCGCTCGTGACTATCTAGGAGTTTTTCAGCCGCGTGTAAGAGGTAAGAATTCTCGTCGAAAAAACTGAGGTCAAGAAACTTCATTTTTACGTGGAAATCTCCTGGCCTCTTCGCTAATTGTCGTTTCGTTAATTCACGAGCGAATCTTAAGTCACTGAAATCCACCACAGACTTTACCGTTTCCCTTTTTCAGATGTACAATGTTAATACTAATCTCGGACTTGTGGTCATCGACTGACCCTAGAAAAAAAATATTCGTATTTCAGTGGCTCTTTATTGGAGATTTTTCTTTTACTAATGCTTAAGTTTAATCTATTCTTAATTACAACATATCACATTTTATAGTGATTTTCCAAGCATAGCTTAGATGTGGCACAAGGCCGAAAGTATGGAGCACCCAGTGAGAATCGAACTCACTACTCAGCCGTAATTGTTCTAGCGAGACAAGCTTGCTAACCATTACACCACCTCGAGGTGCAGAACGAATTTTCGTGTATAATACGCGCTGACATTTAGTGATTTTTCAAGAGTAGCTTATACGTTGCACAAGGCCGAAAGCATGGGGCACCCAGTGAGGATCGAACTCACTACTCAGTCGTAATTGATCTAGCGAGACTAGCTAAACATTACACACCGCTTTGGAGCGCCCAAACCCAATTTAACATTTGTTCAATTTTTATCCGTTTTGTATCGACTAAAAATAAGAATTTATCTGTCTGTATTTTCAGAGATGAGGTATTGTATATATGTATAGCTGGCCACTCGTATTCGAGGACACCCGTCTACTAGGGCAGCTAGCCAATCCCTATTGCAGACCCTTGCTCAGGCGCATTTATTCAACACCCACAGAGACCACCTGTGGTTTATACTGCAACTATGCTGAGCAGACTTTAGTTACAGTTTCTGGGAAAGAGCGTGTTATCTATCGTGATCAGCTATTTCAACAAGGCCAGTACGCTCAAGCCCTCGGTCACGATGACTTGTGACTTCATGCTAGAACAGCTATCGACGGCGCCCAAGTGTTCCGTCTACACAATTTCACTCACAAGGCTTGGGTCAATCCGTGGTATAGTTTTCAGGCACTTTCCAAAGGTGCCGTACGCTGGGATCGACCCCCTCCAGGGCGAGGTATTGTAACTATTTACATTGTTGGGACTGTTGTCCTCATCTTTGTTGTCATATTCAGACCGTTTCGGCCGTTGTACGCTTTGATTTTCTTCAGGTGATCGTAATTTCGAACCGAACCATTTATTTCGTCCACCGAGGTAGATTGTTCTAGTTCCACCAGCCATGCCTCTTCCAGATATCTCAGTTTCAGTTATTTCCCTTTAGTAATTCAACTCTCCTAGTCTTTGTTCACCTCTGCTGTGAATAACACTTTGGGCCAAGTCATTGGATTACTTCACGCAACGCTTTTATCCACTGGGTCATGTGACTTTGGGCACACATGGCCCAGGACCATTTTACCTGCATCTTTAGCGATGGCTCGTATGTACAAGTTCCATTTGAGGTCAAATGTGATCTTAAGGCCCAATAGACTCTCAAGGCAAGTTGCCTCTTCGAAGGGAAATCCATTCATCGATACTGGTGATAGTTCGGGGTTCAATCGACGCCGTATTGTTCCTGAATACCAAATAAAGTGACGAACTTGAGTTCTTCAAGCACGCTCTACGGAATGAGAACGGTGGCTGAGTTCAATGGAAGGATATCAGAAGGCTATCCCAATGCACTAGAAATGACGTATATGCGAGACAAAACTATCCTATCATGTTCAGAGAGTAAAAACCGATATTCGAAAGCACCAATCATTCGAGAAAGACTGAAACTTAGATGAACAAACCGTAATGAAACAGTATTCCACATAAAAAAAAAATCATGTCTCTTTAGGACGTAGGCGATTATGGCTTTCCACAGCTTCATTTCCTTTATTACATCTGAATTTTCATGCATTTAAGGGAAAAAATAGTAGAGTCATTTCCCGTTATTTTCCCCACGGTTTGAAATTTAGAGTGTTCCTTCTTTTAGACTGGTTGCCATATAAATCTAGAGAGCTCAATGTGTCCTGCTATTTAAACCATAACTGGAGGAAGAAGATATAGGTTGTTGGTTTGGGCAATTTAGCCAAATTGAACGCAATAGAGAGCCCGGAATTTGAACTCGGCTCGCCGAATCAACATCCCGCGCCGATATCTGTTACACTACCAGCAGATCCATATATCGCCCACAATCAAATGAAAAGATTATATATACACTGCCTACATCAAATTATCCTGGAAGTTCTAAAGTAAAAGTTGCTATTTATACATGACAGAGTTTAAGGTACATTTAAATGGAGTCTTCTTTGTCAAAAAACATCTTTTTTTAAATACTGATCTCCGATCGATTATTAGTGTCCTTAATAATTATCATAATAATGATTTACAAAATAAAAAAATTCTAAATGAAAATATCGTATTAATTGGGCCATATGCTTATTTCCAAAACTGTTATAAGGCTAATGTAGTGTTTCACCGGCACAAATAATTCGACGAACTTAGGCATTTAACGATTCTACGGGACTTACGCACATGCCTCTTAAGGCGCATTACGGGCGTCCGGCTACGGCAAACGAAGGCCTTCTACGGGACTTACGCACATGCCTCTTAAGGCGCATTACGGGAGTCCGGCTACGGCAAACGAAGGCCTTCGACAAAATTACGCACTTTACGCACTTACCTTCCAAGGCGCATTACGGCAGTCCGGCTACGGTAAACGAAGGCATTCGACGAACTTAGGCATTTAACGATTCTACGGGACTTACGCACATGCCTCTTAAGGCGCATTACGGTAGTCCGGCTACGGCAAACGAAGGCCTTCTACGGGACTTACGCACATGCCTCTTAAGGCGCATTACGGGAGTCCGGCTACGGCAAACGAAGGCCTTCGACAAAATTACGCACTTTACGCACTTATGTTATAGAGCAAAGAGAAGGCAGGAATCGACTGTTGATTTTAAGTTAGGCAATCTCTTTTCCTTTGAAAGATTAGCAGAACATCTTCCTACAAACTCATTTTCTAACGAATTTTATTTTATTTCAGGATAAGCTTATTGAATACACATAATTTGGTTTGGTTTACGGCATATCAACCTGAATAGGTTATTTAATGCCGATAAGATTTTTATTGCTGGTGATATATTTTTTTCCAAAATGTTTTACTGGTAAAAAATTTTCCCAAAAAAGTATTGCTGGTATTAAAACCTATTTTTATTCTTTCATAGAGTTTTGACCCCTTTTTGGAGTTAATTATTTGCCCATAGCTGGGACATTGACAGATGCTACCACCCCGGGTCAGGGTGGACCTGGTAACACCAGCAATTAAGAGGTAATTCCACGCTCCTCAAAACCTTCTGACCAAAAGGTCTTGCTGTTGGATGTAGTTTATCGTCTTAACCAGGACGTGGATGTAATCTTCTTCATACCCTGGACGGGAATTGGGGCACCTCGGCGTGATGTAATGATTAGCAAGCTTGTCTTGCTAGATCAGTTACTACTGAAAAGTGAGTTCTATCCTCACTGGATGCACCAAGCTTTCGGCCTTGTACCACGTCTAAACTACGCTTGGAAAATCTCTACCCTGGACGGGAATATACATAATGGTGTTACACTAGTCCTCGCCGCGAAAAGCGAGGTTGGCCTGGTACAATTCCGAGCTGATGTCGCAGATTAGGACGTACGGCAACATCACGTTGAAACACTGGTTTCCGTACTATTATCGAAGTTAAGCAACGTCGAGCCTGGTTAGTACTTAGATGGGTGACCGTTTGGAAATGCCAAGTACTGTAAGCTTGAATCTATGGGTGATGTAATGGATAATGGCTCTGAATTATTAACGGGGAAGCTGAGTTACAATTCCAATCGGGTACATTATATAACATTCACTTACACAAAAATAACCTTGGGGAAGACATGATTTCATTTCATTTCCTGCTAGCTATAGGTTAATTAGTAAAACTTGTAACACTACAACCATTATTATACAAAAATAAATAAAATTTTGTGCAAAATATTTAAATTTCGGCATTAAATAACCCATATAGATGTTGAGATGCCGCCATACTAAAACAATCAACCAAAGCCGTTTATTTGAACGAGTGATTCGTAATCTACGGCTTATCAAGCATTTGCAGCTTAATTAAAGCTAGAAAAAAATCTATAGATTGTAAGAATTTTTTTTTTTTAGATAATAATAATCTGACCAGGCTCGACGTTGCTTAACTTCGGTCCTCGTATATGAACCGGTGTTTCAGCGTGAGGTGGCCGTAAGTTTCCGAAGCTGTTGAGTTGTTTTGACACAAATACCCCTGGAAAGTTATGAACCTCACCCACCTCTTAGGTTAATGGCAGAGTAAACTATGGCCTGTCTAAGAGGAGGAGGAGGACAACTTTCTATTCAAAACTGGTTTGGGGTGAGACTAGAAATCCCATCCCGTAAAAAAATGATTTACTGCGTAAACCTTAGCAGCACTGTAGCGTGGTTGTGCCCTTGTACTCTAGTGTCTACGATTATATGTTTCTTATTGAAATCAGGAGGTTGGTAAAATTCTGATGACAGTTCGAGCCCGGTGAACATTTTGAGAATCATGTGATTAACTAAAAACCCTTTCATTCATTTCACTTAATTAGCACTGTGGTCACCAGTCCCCTGCATCTCACAGTTGTACTTCATGCTTGCATTCAGTGCAGAATAGAGCAATGGCTTGCTGGTTCCTTTTGCACAGAGGTTGTTGAGGCTATCCCGTGCCTCTTCTCACAAGGGGGACTTGTTTATGATCTTCTAGCATTTGCCTAAAGAGTAAGGATCTACAAGTCAGCAGGTGGTTTGAATTCAGTTTGTTTCTCCTAGACTGGTTGCTAACCCAGGCTATAGGACCCAGTCTATCCTGCTACTTAACCGATAGCTAGGGGAAGACGTGATGGATTCGTAACTTTTCCAATGATATTACAACGTAAGTTACCTTCTTCTAGCCTTTGCCTAAAAATGCAGGCCTTTCAAGTCAATAGGTGGTTTGAATACAGTTACCTTTCCCTAGACTGGTTGTCAATCCAAGGCTACAGGACACAGTCTATCCTGCTATTTTACCCATAGCTGAGGGAAGAGATAGGTTCGTAACATTGTCAAGAACATTAGCACGTATGTAAATGCAATGAACTCGACTGGATTTCGAACTCTTCGATTCCTCAATACAAACCGCTAACAGTCACTCCAACGTATCTCCAACTTTATTTAATATAAACCTAGATTAAATTGTTTATATATCTGCCTCGTGGTAGAAATAGTTGCATATTTCCAAACCAAGAAAAATGCCCGGATATCGACTGCTGAGGTAGCGGTGAACAAACCTTCCTCCTTTAAATAGATTGGCGCAACGCATAATGGCACCGGGCCAGACGAGCCTAAGCCTAACTTCCTTGTTTAAATCATTATGTTTTCTTTGCGAATGTGTGTAACTTTACTTCCTCTAATAATAATAATAATAATAATAATAATAATATATATATATATATATATATTCGTATCTCTTTAAAATTCGTTTTTAACATCCCCGCTTCTCACCCACCTCGCAAAAGTAAATAGAAAAAAAAATGTTTTTTCTACTGATCACCTTTAAGCGGTCACCTCCTATCGGCTTCTTTGGCTTCGGTCAGCCAATCGATACCAGCCGGTTGTTCGAAAATGGACGCTTTTTCGACTGAAGAGCTGAATAGAAAAACGCTAAGCACCAACTCCACTTTCAACTCATAATATGCGCTGATATTTTGCAATTTAGACTCCTACAAGGCTCTACGACATGGGAAATCATTGTTGCTAGGAAGATATGGTCCGGGTTTGGCAAGCAGCTAATGACTCAGCTCCTATTCAAGCCAACATTTGTGAACCCACATTTCATTTTAACTTAGTTGGATAATCACTTGCAAGTTTGACATTATTATTATTTGTGTGTCTGAAGTGTATAAAAATAAAATAAATACGATGCAATATCGTTAACATGTATGATCTGATGCTTCTTGTATATATCTTGAGATTCTAGATAAAATCCAAAGAAGAATCTGCAATATTATCAGTACGGAGCTGACATCCCGGTTTACGGCCATATTACGTTCAAACATTGGTTTCCATACGATCACCAAACATAGCTAACGTCGAGCCTGTTCAGTACATAGATGGGTGGCTGCTCGGGAATACCAGCTGCTGTAAGCTTAGATGTATTCCTGGTTTAATGAGTAATGGCTCGGAATTGTTAAGCCGAGAGTCGAGTTCTAATTCCTGTTGGGTTCGTTATATTCATTTATGCATAAATACCCATAGAAACGGATTATGTATTCACCTCTCCCATCATCTATGTGTTAATTAGTAGGACTTGTGCCAGTAAATCATGATTCTTCCCCACAAAATTTAACGCAATCTAAAAAAATATTTTCCGGCTTTAAATAACCTGCAAAAGGTTGATAAGACGTAAAAAACGAATCAACCAATCAATCAATCAATAATAATCATAATAAATAAACGAAGATGAGGTAACCGAAGATGGGTTAAATATTAGTAAAAATGAATAATCTTTAATAATTAAGTAATTCGTCGAGTCTAAAAGAAACCTCAATCGGATGCAGAAAACACTGGACGGCCGTTTCGTCCTATATTTGGGACGCATCCATTACAGAGAATAGAAACCCGAACAGTTACGATAGGAGGCAAACGGCATACTAACCGTACCAACGGGCCTCGGTGACGAATAGGTAACGAATTAGACTCGATACAGCGCCGCTAGATCACATATTCCGAGTTCCTCTTTACCCATAGGACTGTGCCTCCACGAGCTACGACTACTATCCTCAAGCCGCTTAGTCCAGAGCATTAGAAGCCGGTTCAAGCAAGGATATACAGATTGAAATAATTAGGACTATTTGAAAAAGACATAATTAAGTAATTCATCAAGTCTAGAAGAGATCTCAAATGATTGCAGAAAGCACTGGACGGCCGTTTCGTTCTATCGGCAGTGCGCATCCACTACCGAGAACTGAAACCCGAACAGTTGCGATAAGAGGCAAACGCCATACCAACTGTACCAACGGGCCTCGGTGACGAAGAGATATAGCGATATAGCGCCGCTCGATCACATCTTCCGTGGTGGAACTCATCCGAGTTCCTCTTTACCCACAGGACTGTGCCACCACGAGCTACGACTACTCTCCCCAAGCCACTCAGTCCAGAGCATTAGAAGCCGGTTCAAGAAATGATATACAGATTGAAATAATTATATTAAAAAATTATAAAAGTTCAAAATAATACTGTGCGTATTACCAAGAAAGTAAACATTGCAAATGAATGAAAATGAAGGAATAATATTGAAAATAATAATAAAATTCAAGATAAAGTTACTACTACTCCTTCAAAGATAACAAATGAAGGAAAATGAAATAAATTCTAGTAAAAAAATACGTACTCCTGTATTTACGTCTGATAGACCCCTTCTCTGCCTTCCATCAGCATGACGGATGCTAACCCCCAGGAGAGTAACTCGTTGCACCTTCTCGGTTTAGCATTCTCGATTGACATGAAATTGAAAGACTATGTTGAATCCATTGCTAAGAAAGTTGGTTCACTGTGTAGTGATAGACAATTTTTCAAGTCTAGAAGAGACTTTTTTTTTTCTAGAATAGACTTTTTTCTCTCTAGAATCTATCTTATATATCTATAAGTCTATCAATCGTCCACGATTGAAATATTGCTGCCACGTATGGTGCGGTGATCCTGCTATATATTTAGAAATTCTTGATAAAATTCCAAAAAAAGAATCGTCTAAAGAAAGACTATGTTGAATCCATTGCTAAGAAAGTTGGTTCACTGTGTAGTGATAGACAATTTTTCTCTCTAGAATCTATCTTATATATCTATAAGTCTATCAATCGTCCACGATTGAAATATTGCTGCCACGTATGGTGCAGTGATCCTGCTATATATTTAGAAATTCTTGATAAAATTCCAAAAAAAGAATCGTCGATATTATTGGTCCTCACCTGTCACCTCGGCTTCAGTCATTTGCTACCTCTTCTATAAGTACATTTAGAGTAATTGTTCTGGTGACCTCTTCGCTACGTAGACATTATGAATTTAAGCGCAGTACTAGATTAGCTAGAAAGTCTCATCAATTTGCAGCTGAATTGGTCAGATGTAACCTAAGTCTCGCACTTCTCACTTGTGGAACTCTCTTTCAGTTCCGTGCTTTCCAGCCAACTTCGATTTTCAAAAATTTAAATGCAATGTCAATCGTTATCTACTGTTTTCATGATTATTCTTCTATTGTTCTCGCTCTTTAATAATGTTTCTTTTTTTCTTTTCTAATTCTTTTACGTACAGTAAAGCCTTTGTGTCTTAGTGGCTTTATTCGATTTTAAAAATGAAGTTAAATTCAACATTAAAAAAATTGAATATTATATTAACCAATGCGCTGTATTTATGTAAGTGATACTTGAAACATTTTCAATAAGAGCATAGACATTTTCTTTTTCATGAAAACCATACATAAACGTCTTAGTGTAAAACAGGATTTGGCATTTTGCCTGTTGAAACAATACGATCAAGAAGTTTACTGCACAGACAGAATTGTTTAAGTGGCACTTGTTTCCTTGAAATGAATGTGTTTGTAATAAAGTTATAAAATCATTTATAGCTTCTGGTGTGATTGTGTACCCGCCTTTAGTTTATTTACTCTCTGTGGTTTCATAACACATCTTGCTGGGCTGAGTGCCACTTCGAAACTGAGACGACATTTTCCCCTTCATTAGCCAGTTGTTTCAACTTAATGGGCAGCTATGCAGTCGGTACTGTTTCAACGGATATTATAGCGACTCCTCAAATCAAAATTTCAATATAGCACAGTCGAATGTGTCATGAAATTAGCTCCCGCGTGCACATTTTGTTACAAGCAAAAACTGCAGTATTTAGCAGATTTAACTTGGTCAAAAAAAAAAAAAGAAAAAAAAAAATTCCTATTTGTTTATCTCACAGGCTTCCAAGTTATGACGTCATCAAAATGGCTACCAGATTAAAACTAACTGGTCGCCTTCAATTAAGCATGACTCATCACACAATTCAGCCATTGGGTTGAATTCTTTAAAAAAATGATTAAGAATAAAATTTGTAAACTTTTTTTCTATATATATATATATATATATATATATATATATATGTGTGTGTGTGTGTGTGTGTGTGTGTGTGTGTGCAAATATATAGAAAAATAGGAAAGAACACGTTAGGTAAATAATCCGAAGTTATTTAGTATTTTTGTTTTTATTTAAAAAAAAAATAGTGCTATATATATATATATATATATATATATATATAAGCAAATATATGGATATAGATCCAGCAGTATGAAGAAAAATACAGAAAAAACAAACAAAAATCGTAATATGCAATTATGTTGTATTAATGTTAATATAAAGTCGACGTCGGACGTTTCGGTCTATTTAAGACCATCTTCATGGACATTTAAATACAAAACTGAATTTACTTTATAACATGGAAGTCTTCAAGCTTGGACGAGAATATAAGAATCTATTGATCAAGTAAGGAAAGGATTTATTATCGAACTGTTTTTTAGAACTGTTCCATCGTTTTTGAAATCATTTTTGATTTGCTTTGTAACGTGAAGGACTTCAAGCTTGTATGAAGATATAAGAACCTATTGATCTCTACGTATTCCTATATCAACGGAAGGGATTTCTTGAACTGTTTATATAAAATAGTTCAATCGACTTTTTAATATTTTAATATTTGGAAATCATCTTCGAATACGTTTTCACAACATCGCCCACGTGACGACGACGTGATCATATTTAAACGGAACGCTGATCTTATATAAAAATTTCAGTTATCTGTTTGGATTAGTTGTGCTCTTATGTCCATCGTCTTTTGTGTTAAATTTTTATATGTTCTAATGTAATAGACCGAAACGTTTGACGTCGACTTTATATTAACATTAATACAGCATAATTGCATATTAAGATTTTTGTTTGTTTTTCTGTATTTTTCTTCATATATATATATATATATATATATATATATATATATATATATATATATATATTGTGTGTGTTTGTGTGTGTGTGCGTGTGTGTGTGTGTTTGTGTGTGTGTGTGTCTATGTATATATATTCAAACATATATTGTTAAATATAACAGGCAAAAAATTATGTTTGATCATGAGCCGTTCTAGGCATCGTATAGTTGCTTTAATTTCGGGAGAAAATAAAGATAAAAACTGTCCAACATTTGGATATTTTTTATTATGCTTTTCCTGGATCTAAGTTTCCGGCTCACATGAATCATCATCAGAGGGGTTATATGGACATTTCAACAAAGATATTCACCATCAAAGATGATATCCTGTTGTGTTGACATAGAAGTTTGCTATGCGACGAAATTTGATTATCTCTGACAGCAATCGAGCCTGCAGCCCTAATCCCCGAAGGTCTGTGTTTGTAAACAGTAATTCGAACTTTGCTAACCTGACGTTTTTTGTGGCTTGATGGTTAATAGCACGTCAGATCAAATGACGATTCCCATTAGAGTTGCACGTTCGATTCCTGTCAGAGGTGCATTCAGGCCTGTAAATGTAATTAATACTGTTTAATTAAAAATCAGAGTATTTACTTAAATAAAAAGTATATCTGTAAAAATAACGTATAAACAGAATATATATATATAACCTCTCTCACTGTTATATATATATATATATATATATATATATATATATATATATATATATGAGAGAGACTGCACAAAATCTTTACTATTTTGAATAAATATCTTAAGACACATTTCACACGTCTCTTAAAATTACTCCACCAATAAATAAACATCTTTATTTTCAAGGAAGCCATTTTTGCCATCCTTCACCTGGACTTTTTGCGTCGTACCTTGTATGCAAGATAAAAATAATTTGCCCATCCTTTGAATTGGCAAAGTTTTCCGTCAAGCGAATCTCTAAAAAAGATTAGATTTTCGGCCAATTTACGTATAAAGTTATTTTTTATGCCCGCTCGATTTTTTCTTTCTTCTCAGCAAACTGATATTCTCTTTTGTGATGATAGACAGATAACGATGGCGAAATTCAGTTAGGTTAATCAGAAATTTCTCTTTAAAAGCAAGTAAGCAAACATGCTACACCTACGAAAACTAAACTCTTTCTATTTTAGCAAGAGAGAACGAAACAGAATGACTTTTAATGATTTCTGGTTTTTCGAAAATTCGCTCCAGATATATGAACATTAAAAGACAATCTTTTCCTGTCCAGAAAACAATAAGAACTCTGGAGTGTCTACAATCATTGTTTCTTGATACTTGTCTATGCGTCATGTCAGTTAATGGTGTGGGTGATAATGGTTCTCTCCAGCTTCCTGTCTTTTGTTGCTCATTTCCGACCCCTCTTTCTTGCACATGGGATTGTGGGCATATTCCGTTTAAAAACCGGTTCTCGTACGATCACAGAAGTTAAGCAACGTCGAGTCTGGTCAGCACTTAGATGAGTAATTTCTTGGGAATGCAGGTGTTGTAATGGAAATGGCTCCAAATTCGAAATTGGAGAATCGAGTTCCGATTTCAATCGGGTTCGTTATATTCAATTATAAGAAAATACCTTTGGGAAAGGTATGAATCCACCATTTCTCCCCAGTTATGGGTTAATTAGTAAGACATTTATCACTAAAATATTATTATTTAAAAAAATTCTAACAATCTAAAATTAATTTTTGGCTTTAAATTAAATGTATTGGGTTAATAAACTGACAGACATTTGGATGATGTGAAATTTTGTAATGATAATAATATAATAAATAAATAAATAAATAAAACGTGAAAAACGGGAGCGATCAGTCATAGAGTAAATTTGATATTGCAATTGCATCTCGCTGACAACTGTTCACATACACACAGTAAGGTTTCGTCTTATGAGCTGGTCAGTTACATCAAGGCTACCCAAATGTTTATTCAGATACTGTAAAGTTCTGGCCGTTGTACGCTCCGGTCTTCTTCAGGTGGTTGGAATGTCGAACTGAACCCTTTATTTCGCTCACTGGGGTAGACTGTTCTAGTTCCACGTGCCATGTTTAATGGATGTCAGTTATCAGTTATCTCCTGTTAATTTCCCTCACCAAGTTCTCCACTGCCTTAACCGGGTATTGAACTCACACTCTTTGGATCACTGGATCTAACTAACGCCTTTATCCACTGTGCCATGTGTCCTTGAGGATAAAGGCGTTAGTTAGATCCAGTGACAGGACCCAAAGAGTGTGAGTTCAATACCCGGTGGAGAACTTTCAGAGAGAAATTAACAGGATAACTGACATCGATTAAACATGGCATGTGGAATTAGAACAGTCTACTCCAGTGAGCGAAATAAAGGGTTCAGTTCGACATTCCAACCACCTGAAGAAGGCCGGAGCATACAACGGCCGAATCTTTGTATAAATATGGCGACAAAGATGAGCACAATAGTCCGAATGATGTAAATAATATACATAATACTTCATTTCCGAAATAGAGACTTTTTACAGTTTATCAAACTATTTTTGTTATTTTAAAGCTGAGACGTATTTTGAATTGTAAGAATAATTCTTGTTTTTTTTTTTTCGAGTGAATATTGCATGAAAACATTTTGGGGGCAGTTACAATGATTCTTCCAGATAAAAGTCTTAATATTTGACCCACACCTGGTGGGGAGAAAAGATAGATTCATACCTTTACAAGTAATATTTACGTGTAATTGATTGTTTTAATAGATGTTTTCTGCAGCTTATCACGCAGAAAATATTTTAAGATTGGAAGAATTTTTTTGAGATAAAAATAATTTGGGGGATAATAATAATACGCGTTTTACTGACTAATCCATAGCTGGGGGAGAAGAGGTGAATTCATACCTTTGTCAGTGGTATTTGCCGGAAAGTGAATATAGCGGACCAAACTGGAATTGCAACGTGGCTCTGCGATTAACTTTTCAAAACTATTATCCATTACACCACCCGCGCATCCAAGTTTTCCGAACTTGGTATTCGCAAGCGGTCACCCATCTAGGTACTGACCAGGCTCTACATTGCTTAACTTTGTTGATCGTATGGGAACCGGTGGTTCAACGTGATATGGCTTTAAGCCATATTTGCGTGCAAGAATATGTAACAAACTTGACCGGATTTCGAACTTGGTTCTCCAATTTTTTTATTCCGAGTTGCTATGAATGACACCACCTGCACACTCAAAATAGCTACTGAAGTGTCGTGGTCGAGATTAAGGAGAACGCGGCAAGCCAGTTGATTCCGAAAGTAGACCTTGTAGAGTTTCTTTATTGGGGGGGGGGAGTGGACACCGGGATAAATATGAGGTTTGAAGTCAATTTTTTCCTCTTTAATATTGTTGAGTCACAGTGGAATAATGTTTAGCGGCTCGGATGTGGAACCAAGTTCGAATTCCAGTCGAGTTCGTTGCATTCACTTACGTGCAAAAGTATGAATACCCCGATTTGGTAACTAGCGAGACACACTGGGCCCTATAGCCTTGGTTGGCAACAAGTCTAGGAGAAAGAAAATTCTGAATTTAAACCACCTATTGCCTCTTTAAATTCTGAGAGGTGGGACCAGGTAACCTGAATATCCCCGGTGCAAAGGGGACCGGCAAGCCATTGCACTATTTTGCTTTGAATGTCAACATGAAGCACAATTGTGAGATGTGTTAGCTGAATAAATGATGAATATTCAACGACCGTGTACATTACATTCATAAAACATTCAAGTAAAATATTACAATGTGCAATCTACAGTATCGACATTTGTTTTGTATCGACGTCTTGCCAAAAGAGCAGCATTGCATACAGCCTCCGTAACGATCTTCGAATAGCTTCTGACTTCGAGGCTACCGTCTCGGAGCAACGATTTGAAGCCGGTTCTATTTTTTTCTTCGTCGATTAACAGCTTCTTAAGAGCTCTGCACAAGCAATTCAATATTTTGGGGTCGATATTGAAGAGACGAGAGGACAATTTGGTACGCCACGAAATACCGGTTAAACATTTTGTGGCTGTCGGGTGCAGAAGTTCGGTCCGGATATGGATAAGGTCAAGAAGTGAAAGAACGACAACGACTTTATGAGGCGCGACCAAAGTTTCGTTTTCTTATCAGGCAAAGAACTCGGTTCTGCGATTGGTTTATGACTAATGAAATTTTGTGTTGCGCAAGTAATCGAAAAGAACTGATGCAAAAGTCGTATATTTTCAGGAACCGCCGTCTCCACTTGTCGAGATTTACGGCCCGTTATTTGCAACGCATGTAAAACCAAGCACCCAACCGCCATCAATGAGCTTTTTACCTCATCAAATTCTTTCATTGCGTCCATATCCCAAACGGCAGAACGGAAGCCCAGAATAAATACTCACGCTCTTCGCTAGTTCTTACGGCAAACATCATTCAGGCTTACTTTTGTTCTTTTTTTCTTTAGTTTTCTTTGTTCTACAATTTTTGTTTTCTTTCATTTCTTTTTTTCTTCATCCATTAATATTTCTTTCTTTATTTCTTTCTTTTTTCTTTCTTTCTTTCGTTCTTATTTCTTTCTTTCTTTCTTTCTTTCTTTTTTCGTTCTTTCCTTCTTTTTGCTTTCTTTCTTCTTTCTTTTTCATTAGTTCTTTCTTCTTTCTTTTTCATTAGTTCTTTTTCCTTCCTTTCTGCTCGCTCCTGTCATTTCCTTTTCCTATCTATTTCTTCTACTCTTTCTTCTTTCTCTTCCATTCCATACCGTTCATTTATTCTCCCCTTTTTCTCTGTCATTTCACTTACAAACATATTCGATTCCCACCCAAGTCCAGAAAGAAGAAGTTAGTTCTTCTACTAATTTTTCTTTGTTTGTTTCTTTTAATTCAATTTTCATTCCCTTTACCACTAATTTTTGTTTGTTTCTTTCTTTTAGTTATTTTCCCATGCTTTCTATCACTAATCTTTCTTTCTTTCCTTGTTTTCTTTCTTTCTTTCTTTCTTTTAATTCACTTTTCATTTTTTTCCACCAATTTTTGCTTGTTTGCCTATCACTTTCTTTCAATTCATTTTTCATTCTTTCGATTTTCTATATTTCTTTCTTTCTTTACCATATTTAATTTTCTTTCTTTAATTTTTTAATTCTTTTCTATTCTTCTTTTTTTCGCCATTTCTAATTTTATTTCCTTCTTTTCCCCCAAGTTTTCTTTCTTTCTTTTTTCTTTATTTCTTCGTCGTTTTTAACTTTCTATCTTTCTTTAACTTTTTATTTTTTCCCCACTAATTGGTCTTCTTTCTTTCTTTCTTTCTTTCTTTCTTTCTTTCTTTCTTTCTTTTAAGTCATTTTCATTCTTTCTTCCCGTCTATTTTCTTAAGTTTCCTTAATCAATTTGCTTCATTTTAAAATTAATTTTTCATTCTTTCTTTCATAAATTTTAATTTCTTTTCTTCATTTTTATTTCATTTTTCCTTCTTTCTTCTACTAATTTTTCCTTGTTTGTTTCTTTTAATTCAATTTTCATTCCCTTTACCACTAATTTTTGTTTCTTTCTTTCTTTTAGTTATTTTCCCATGCTTTCTATCACTAATCTTTCTTTCTTTCTTTCCTTGTTTTCTTTCTCTCCTTCCTTCCTTTCTTTTTCCTTCCTTTCTGCTCGCTCCTGTCATTTCCTTTTCCTATCTATTTCTTCTACTCTTTCTTCTTTCTCTTCCATTCCATACCGTACATTTATTCTCCCCTTTTTCTCTGTCATTTCACTTACAAACATATTCGATTCCCACCCAAGTCCAGAAAGAAGAAGTTAGCCATTTTTATGACAACCTGTCCGCAGTTCCAGCGAACATATAATCAGAAGAATAAAGCGCGCTGTTACAAGTTCCATTAGTTTTCACCTCTTGCAGGCAACTCTTCAGCCAGGCTCGAGGCGCACTAAAACAACCACCCTCAAGACATGTCTTATTCGAACAAGGTTGAATGGGGCCAGATGAAGCAAACGAGGGCCGTCCATTTAGATTGGAAGGCACACAATATCGATCGGACAAAGGTTTTATGGTCAGGTAAAAATGTTAAACGTTTCAACGAGCCAGCCACTTTTCTTTCAGAAGGATGATGATACTTTGACCGGCGTCGGCGGCGTCGAAAAAAAAAGTGTCAGTTCCGGTGAGTGGCGAAATTTAAATCCGTATCTTGTATCTTGCATCGAAATATCCAGACTTCTCTCTTAAAAGGCTCCCTAAAAGATTTCGATTTGTTGCGAACATATTCTGATATGCAAACATCTGAGGAAACACACGTGATCAGTAGACAAATGCCAGGGGGGTGCATTGGAATACGAATACGTCTATAAATAAACACGAAAGCACAAAAGCTCTCTCTGTTTATTTATCTATCTATCTATCTATCTATCTATCTATCTATCTATCTATCTATCTATCTATAATACGTCTATAAGTAAACACGAAAGCACAAAAGCTTTCTCTGTTTATCTATCTATCTATCTATCTATAATAAGTCTATAAATAAACACGAAAGAACAAAAATCTCTCTTTCTCTCTCTCTCTCTCTCTCTCTCTCTCTCTATATATATATATATATATATATATATATATATAATACGTCTATAAATAAACACGAAAACAAAAATCTCTCTGCTCATATATATATATATATATATATATATATATAACAGATTTTGTGCTTTCAGGCTTATTTAAAAGACGTATTCGTACTTCAATGAACCACCTGGCATTACTCTACTGATTACATATATATATATATATATATATATATATATATATATATATATATATATATATATTCATTGCTAGCTATCTACAATAAAATAATACATATAAACTCTAATCCTATTTAAAACTAATTAAACATGTTTTTATTAATCATTGATAAATAAAACTGAAAATCATCAACAATAAAAAGAATAATAAATATTATTTAATTAATAAATAAACCAACCGAATAGCGACAAGGGAATTCTTGTCTGATGATCCCCATGTCGTGAAACTTAGCATTACAATTTGGATCAGAGTCCGTCAGTGCAATTTGGTCTGTTAGTATTACTGTTTTTTCTTAGTCTAATTTCTTGAGGAATTGAACACTTTAGACTTTTTTCTTTCTATTTCTTTCCCTTATTTTTCTTGCATTTGATTTTTCCTTTCGCAGGCTTAGTGGTAATGGGCTTATTCTTGCATGCATTAAATAAAAACATGGAAACCTTAAATCAAATCTTTAATTGAATTCTTGTTTTGAGCAGTAGTTTTATGCAACACATGGATAAACTGAAAGTCTGTGTAGACAATTTAATCGGTTTTGTGAATTTGATAGTAAAATTTGATTAAATAGTAATTCATTTCACTGTTTAAGAAAATGAGAAAAATATATTTTTTACTTTAAATAGTGTGTTTATTGGCCTGCGTATCTAATGATGAGATTTCAGGAAGACGCAGGCCAATAGACAAAATACCTACTGTTTAATTAAAAGTTAAAAATAGTGCATCCGTTTCAAATACGAGTATCGACTACAATAAGGTTTATATATATCTACAAAAATTCGGAGATCAGTCGATTCGGCTATCTTGGTTTCAACCATTCGGTATATTTAGACGATTTCGATCAATTGATTTCCTAAAGCTTTAGCTTAAATAAATAAAAATTAAAGAAATTATGAAAACTATATATAAAAAATAAATAAATAAGCGCATAACGTGAGGTGTGGTAGAAGGCGAGGAGGAAGAGGAGGAAGAGGAGGGGAAAATAAAGTGCATTGAAAATGCATCGTTGGCGGATTAAATGAAATATACATACTTTCTTTTCTTCCCACTTCATATGAACTTAAAAAGAACTTTTTAGCATGTTTTTTTTTTATTCATTAATATGACAGATTTTTATTACTTAAACATTAATAAATGAAGTAAAAAGCTAATAGGCAGATAGATAAAAGCATGTAACTGAAGTTGGAGAATTCTTTCCATTTAAAAAAAAGTAAGTAGAGATTCAGATTGCAATCTGTTTAAAATGCATTCTGGTTGGTTGAATATGATCACGCATAGTAATTTTTGTGCCAAACATAGATGATGATAAAATGTTATTGCCATTAAATGTCATAGTTCAGTAAGCATGTCTAATAGCAACAAAGTGTTAAGTAGTTCAAGTATCAGTGTTGTGGTCTGTTAGGGCCAGAAATAAAGACACACAGAGAGTAATTGAGTTAAATATATTAACAGAAACAGTAATACAAATGAGAGTGTTACATCAATAATGTTCATTCCGACTGTCAGAGCTGAGTGCTGAAAACTTCCCTCTGCAAAAGGCAGTACCTGCTCCTATTTATAGCTGGGAGAGTCCATGTATGAATGGGTAAATTATCATAACAGTCAGGAATTCTATTTTATTAGAGGGTAATCACAAAAAGTTCAATGTACAAAGATTAAATTTGTGTGTGCGTGTGTGTGGAAATAGTTTTAGTGTTTCCTACTATGTTATAATGTGCTGCTCGTGTTGTGATGTTCGTGTTGAAGCACTCGACTCACCTCGTCTTATCCAGGGTGGAATAAGCTGCTTGGTTCTTGTACCCAGGTGCTAGCTGGTTCGTCCCACATAATTGACATCCCGCCAACATTTAAAATATTAAACAACAGAACAGTTAGAAAATGGGTGAACCTTATCGTTCTCAAAAGCAGGGAAAACGTTTCTGGTAGAGACAACAAGTCGCAATTTAGTGGCCTACTACAGCTCAATGGCCCTTATTAATTGAGGAGTTAATTTATCTGCGCTAAAAATCAAGTAATCTACCTAGTCTTTAGCTGCAATTCATCAACACTCGTTCAAGGGGCATGATGTTTGTGCTGTGAAGCAAGTAGCTCAAACTCTGAGAGAAAGGTCTCCGTATCAACTCTTGACGGAGGAATACAAGATTCCAATCCTCTAGTTAACACTAGTGTCTCGGTGTCGGTAAAAAAACAAGCTAGACAAACTAGCAATATCCCTAGTCGGGTTCAAAGAAACGGACCCATGTATTTTTCTTATTTGCCGCTTTTCAAGGTCATGTATAATGCTTAGGAATTACTAATGTAAAAAAATGTTCCGTTTTGCTTTCTTTTTTTCTCTTCCTTTTTCCCAAGCTTTGGTCGTTTTCTTTTGTCATGTGTGTTTTATACATGAAAATAAGGTTTACACCCTGGAATTTCACTACTTTTTTAACTGGATCTTATACTCCATCTTCTATATATAAAGGATTACGTTAAGAGTGTTTGTTATTATTTCCATCTTGTTCCACGGTGACTTTAGATGGCGTGTGAATATTATGACAATCCAGAGGTTGATATCAGATATCGATAACATGGAGGAATTTTATCCTTAGTAGACTTCGATCTAAACGTCTAACCCACACGCAACAAATCTCAGAATGCTGATAATAACGCTGTCCTCAGTCATTCAAAAGAAGAACCCAAACAATCTGTGAACAGCTTTGCTATGGCCTACCATTGTTTTGGTTTTACAGTAAACATCAAGAAAACCAAGGTCCTTGCACAGCCAGTCCCAAATACCATCTTACCAGATTTTGATATTATCGAGTGTGATACAACTCTAGAATAAATAGAGCATTCTTTACATCCTGACAGCCTTTTATCAAACAAGTACACTACAAAAAAGCAAGTGGAACACAGAACTGGAACTGCACAGTGGGCATTTGGAAAGCTAATCAAACGCGTCTTCAACTACAAAACCTGAACTTAACAAAAATTATGGTCTATAATTCTGTTGTCATTTCAACTTTGCTATATGGTTGCAAAACCTGGACTCTATATTGTCGCGACACCCAGAATTTAGAACGCTTTCTCCAGCAAAAGCTTCGTTCAATCTTGAGCATCAAATGGAATTAATATATGAACAACACCAAAGTCCTGAAAAGAGCCAACAATCAAAGCATCGAATCGCTGCTCGTTAAACAACGCCTTCGATGGCCAGTACATGTAGCAAGAACGGAAGACTCAAGATTTCTACGTCAATACATATTTAGTAAGCTCACTTCTGGAAAAAAAACACGGGGTTCCCCCTCTTCGAAGATACAAGGACAAACTCAACACAACTCTGAAAGCCAGTGGACTTGAGCCTAAACCGTTTGAAACACAAGAACTAGATCTTACCAACTGGTAATGTTCCATTACCATCAAGAACAAAAATTTCGAAGCCACCAGAAGAGAAAAGGAAGAAGTCAAACGACAAGAAAGAAATACTTGACAAAATCATCCTCGTACCCAGCAAACATTACAATGTCTTCAATGCCATCTTCTCTTCCATCCAAGAATTGGCCTACTTAGT